CATTTTTGACTCGTTAGGATCAGTTCTCACGATTGGCATCAAAAAAAGGAAATCCAAAATTTTGACCCAAATCACGCTTCACGCTTTTTTCAAAATAGCGGTCGGTGCGAAAATCGAAACTTTTTCAATGAATACACCCTGAACCCATTAAAAATGGGTATAAGGGTATATTCTATTTGTGCAAAATCCAAATGTATGTAACAGGCAGAAGGAAGCATCTCCGACCCCATAAAATATATATATTCTTGATCAGCATCAATAGCTGTTCGTCCGTCCGTCCGTCCGTCCGTCCGTCCGTCCGTCCGTCCGTCCGTATGTATGAACGCAAGGATCTCAGAACATATAAGAGCTATAGACTTGACTAGATCAAGTTTGTTTCCGATAATCGATAACTTACTCCGATAAAACTCGATATCGATATCCTGTTTTTTGGGCAATTTTAGTAAATAATAAGAGCTAGAGTCCCCAAACTTGACATATAGCTTCTACAATAAAATATATATATGCATTTGATGTTGGAAGAAGAGGGTTCAGGGTATCCCCTAGTCGGGAGCTCCCGATTAGAAGTTCCTACTTGTTATCAATTATTCAAGTCCACAACTGACAATTCGGAAATAAGTACCTTTCAAGCTGCAGTTGTACAATAATTCTCCTATGAACAGAAGTGATAAACTCTTTTCTCGCACTGCCGTTTAAGAGCACATTCTTAAGCTCTGCTCTTGCATACTCTTTATTTTCAACATGATTTTTATACTCTATACAGTTTGTTTTTCCGGCTTTTTGATTGAGTTTGTGGGCTGAGTCTGCTGATAAGCGATTTTGTATTTGTATCACTGGGTCAGAAAAATACAGTTCTCTTGCCGGGCACAGCGGTAGCTGTGCTTATCAGTCTCCCAATTGGCTTTTTGCGAACCCACAACCGAAATCAACGCTCAGTTTCAAACAGCAGCTCAAGACGACGAGCACGGCAGTTAGACCCTACGCTAAAGCTAGTCTAAGTTTCAACTCGAGAGTTTTCCACAATGTGGCATTTGTTAACGCTGTACGTGATGTTGCCCGGCTGCGCCTGGGCATTGATCTGCACACGTCATCCGGCCAATACGCACACGCCCAAATCGCCCGTCGATGAGAACTATGTGATAAGCATAACTGGCAACCCGGAAACGTATATACTCGGACAGGAGTACAACGGTGAGCGCGTGAGTTCATTGGCCTTGCGCTTGAACTTCAAAGTTCTGTTTCCGATTGCTCTCAGTCTCTACGGCACGTCTCAACAAGGTTCCAACTAGAAAAAATTGAGATCCGGTGAGACCGACTAGATGATACCCTTCAAATAATCGTAACATACACTCGAACATTTATAAAAGCATTCTCAAATAAGTAATATCTGTATAATCCGATCGTTAGTATGGAAAATTTCTTCAAATTTGTATAAGATATCGCTAGCGCTAGCAAAAACAAGAACAAGTTTGGGCAGGACATCAATAAATATCGATTTGTATATAAATGTTAGATTAATATACAAATACCTCATCATATACATCATGTGTATCTAGAAGCTTATCAGAATGATATATATATATGAGATATGGAATATATCTACTTTTCCTGTCTGTTACATAGTCTTTTACGAATTAGCAATTAATACAGGGTATAAAAACAAAAACAAACATTTCGCAATGCTCGTTTTTTCTTTTCTCATTTTTTTTTTGTTTTGTAAACAAATCGCGGCGTACGCTTTCTTATCAGGACATTGCAAATTTGAGAGGTCTCACGTTTTCAAGGTCGGCTGCCGATAAGCCGCTTGTATACAAAATTCGATTAGTTATTTCATGAGTATCTTCCGACAGTTTCGCTCAATGCATTCAATGGACATCGCTATATTAGCTACATTCTGGCACTGGAGAACGAAAATGGTGATTTTAGCTATATGAACGATTTGGGTCGCTTTGAGCTAAACGACATGATTGAGACGCGTTTCAGGCCCAACTGCATCAACTTGGTGGAGAACACAAACACCAATCCCAAGACACACATGCATCTGACCTGGGTAGCGCCCAGTGAGCCGGGCAACGGCTGCATATTGATTCGTGCCACAGTGCTGCAACATCGCGACGTCTGGCACATGGACGATGGTGGACTAACGCGGCGCATATGCGAGGAGGTAGTGGATGATGTGGAAAGTCAACCCACGGCCAGTTCTTTGAACAGTCCTTGCTGTGCCTGTGATGAGGCGCGATATGAGGTGAGTTCAAGAACTTATCGAGAAATTCTTTAAATGAACAACTAAGATCCTTAGATAAATAAAGACTTGGACAAACACTTAACTGTATAGAGACAAGCTATTTTTCAGCACGAACACATTATTTTAATTCATAACTTGGCGCGCAAATCACCAAATCAACTACCTCCTTTATAGCTTACATTCGAGGGCGTCTGGTCGCGTAATTTGCATCCAAAAGATTTTCCAGCGCGCGGCTGGGAGACGCGCTTCTGTGAGCTGGTGGGCGCCGCACATAGTTCCGACTATCGTTTCTGGGAGTCAGGTGCGTTGGCCAGCGAAGGAGTCAAGCAATATGCAGAGCACTGCACTTCCAAATTGCTCGAGCGCGAATTTAGCAGTAACTTTCGGGTGAGTCTGACTAGCCTAAGTAGTTGTGTGAAATATTAATAAAGTCATATTGCAGGAACAAAAAATACGCACCATAATCAAGGCACGTGGGCCCGCCTTTCCGAACTTGAATAGCAAAACGACAGCATCAGTGCGTGTGGATCCAGTACATCACATGGTATCATTTGCCTCCAAAATTGAGCCCTCTCCAGACTGGATTGTGGGCGTTAGCGGGCTGGAGTTGTGTCTGCGCAATTGCACGTGGCTAGAGACGAAGGTGATCAACTTGTATCCCTGGGATGTGGGCACCGATGCGGGACCCAGTTATACGGTAAGTAAATGAGTGCGTTTATACCAAAAACTAAAAAGTCTCGCGGCTGCTCTAGTCCCCCGATCAGCCACAGGTGCCGCCGGATGTCATCAGACGCATACGCTCTGATTTTCCCAATGATCCGCGATCACCCTTCTACGATGATTCTGGTGCTCCCATGAAACCCATGGCCGTGTTAACGGTGCGACGTCAACGCATCTACGAGAGGCGCTGTGTGGATGAAGAATGTAAGTAGCTTTATGTGTTGAGGCTGTATTCAAATAAATATCTTAATTAACATTTACCCAAGCCAACAACGATGCGGATGTGCCACGTGAGTGTCTAACGCATCCGTGGTCTGGCTGGAGCGATTGCTCCACCAAATGCGGCGAGGGCATGCAGTATAGAAGACGTGTTTACAAACAGCCAGAGCTAGCCAGGATTAACAATTGCAATGTGCCACAATACGAGGAACACGCTTGCGAGGGACAAATCTGCGGACTGAGTGAACCAATGCGCAATGTCGCTGACTACGACGAACTTAACATGGGCCTGCAGCCCAATCAGCATCAGCGACGCGCTGAATGCCAGTTGACTGCTTGGAGCTCCTGGAGCACGTGCAGCGTCACCTGTGGCGAGGGCTATCAGATGCGCCAGAGGCAATATATTAATCCCAGCGCCGAGCTCAAATGCCAGAGCGTGCATAGGCTGGAGCTGCAGGAGATGCGTAAGTGTGCGGGCAGAGCTTGCATGGGTAATTTGCCTGGTGGCGACATAGAGGCTCCATACGATGAACGGGAGCGCAACCAAGCAGAGCCAGAGCTCGAGCTGGAAAATTATGACAGAGATAACAACAATAACAACAACTTTAATAGAGATTACGACGAGGAGCAAACTGATTATGATCGCAGAGCAAGCGGCTTTGAGGTGGGCAATTTAAAGGGCAGCAAAGCACAGTGGGGCCAAGATGCTCAGCGGCCGCCAAATCGCAATATTCCACAGCTTACAATGTTGCATCGGCCGGGTAACAACCAGGCGAAATATGGACAAACCACAAGGCTGGAGGATGTGGAACGTGCGCCATGGCAACGCGTTCGACCCAGTGGCAACTACAGAGAGGATGAGCAGCTGAGCTACGCTGGACAACGACAACATGGTGGCAACAGAGTCATGACTGAAACGCATCCAATTGCCGAGCAGGACGCAGAGCAACAGCGCATGCCTTGGATCAGGCCAAACAACATGATAAACAACCAAGGCAGAAACTTGGATCAAGCCAACGTTGATGCAGAAGAAGATATGGATACATACATGTCCATGCGTTGCTTCCAAATGCTGCGCACCAATCAGCCGCGCTGCAAAAACCAAACGATTGTGGGTCACTTTTGGTTCTACAATTTCTGTGTCGATGAGTGTATGTTATTTGCGGCCGATCCGTGCGATCGCAACGTAAACAAGTTTAACAAGTGGGAAGAGTGTGAGGAGTGCCGGCGGCCCGAGTTCCAGCAGATGCAGGAGCAACGGTCCATCTCACAGGAATGCCATCTTATTTTAGCCTCGCAGCGGGCGCAGCAAAGGTATCGGGATGTGGAGCACAGTGTTTACTCCAGCAGAAGGTCACATAACGGCAATCGGCAGTGGGGTCGATGAGTGAGAAATGTAACCTAAGATATATATACTTCCAAGTACATTTATTTTTGTTTTTGCGTATTTTAAATTAGATTTATAGGACTTTCAACTCTCAAAAAACAAAATACAAGTTTGGTTGTATGTATGTATGTATGCACTACCGTTAAAGTTGAAAAAGATTGCAGGTTATCGCACAAAGCTCGATAACAATAAATTATACTCGATATGTACTCAAGTGCAAAAGCAATACAAGTAACATTTAAGTTTTCAATTTAACTTTATTATTTTATTATTTCTTTTAATTCTAAATTCCGAATGACATTTGTGTTAGGTTAATAAAATTAAAAAGAATTTATTCAGTAAACTATTTCAGCTCAAATCCGATAAATTGTAGCGTTGCCATATATTGACAACTCTGCCGCATTGAACAGTAAAATTTGCGAAATAAATTGAACAGGCACATAATATTTATAATACGGAAATGCAACAGCATCGTTTAACAATGATACGCAATTTGCTAGCGCTACGTTCGCTGGCACTTCAAATACCTAAATATCCGAAAATTATTGATGCTTCCAAAATGCAATCACAGCAAATGCCAAGCTTAACGTTCCATCGGTATCTTACACAAGCAACGACAACTAAAACAAAATCAGATGAGCAGAAAGCAAATCGACAACAGCAAAAAATTACGCTTATTTCACCAAACCAGTCCATAAGCATCACCACATTGGATGAGGCACAGAAGTTGGCAAAGCGTCGTGATTTACATCTGCTGCGCTTGCAGCAGCCGGACGCAAAAACAGGGCGCATTATGTTTAAGTTAGTTGCCGAAATTACCAATAATATGCACACCATACTAAGTAGGCGCTCTTTACAGATTGGTCACGACTGCCGAAATGTTAGCAGATGAGTCGGAGGGCAAAGGTGCCGCTAAATCAACTACTGGAGACAAAGGCAATAAGAAGTCGGAGAAATCCCTAACCATTGGCGCTCGCATTACCGACCACGATCTGGCCTCCAGGCTGAAGAACATTACCAAATGGCTGAACAAGCGTCACGAGGTGCGCATTCTCATACAGGGCAATGCGAGTGGCGCTGATGAGGGCAATGCGGAGCGCATTGTGAAGACAATTGAAGCGACCATCAAGGAGCCGCAAATCCTTGGCAAAATTGTGCAAAAGCGTCAAAAGGGCAGCTTTATCAAATTCAGCATAATGCCTGTAGCAGCTGCAGTTGAAGCTGGTACAACAACGACGACGCCGCCGTTATCCCCGCCGTTAGCCACTGTAAAGCAATCGTGACAACCACAGTGGTTCAGAACGCACGTCATCGCATACAGAATACTCATGGTGTTACCTTTCATGATCGCACATCTAGACATAGCACAGACAAAGAACAACTACTCCACCTTGGAGCGCAGCAATGATGAATCCCGCCCGGATCCTAAAAAGCCTGCGATGGTCGCCTTTGTTTCATTCTTGTTCATATTCGCCTTGAAGTACGTCTTTTGGATACGCACGTTTTGGAGAAATGATCGCAGCAGTTAATAGTTTTCCTTCTGTTTTTGTTAAATAAATTATATTAATAAATAAAATGTACTCTTATTTCTTCAATGTTTGATTTAAGTTGTTCTTTTTGAAAGTTCAATAGTTCAAACCTCTACAGATTTTTAAATATCGTTTATTTATTTATACGCACTTAATATAGTGCAACATCTTTTGAATATACATGAAATATTTATTTGAATGTTTTACTTTTGATGTTTGAAGATATATTTAAAATGTATTTGAATTTAAAGCACACCTAATTTTGAAAACAAATTAATTTTTAAACTATATTCAATTATTAAAATAAATAAGTACAGATTTAAATATATTTATATATATTGAACCTTTGACATTGCACAATATAAGCTAATTACACAATATATATAAATAAAGCTTGATGTTGGTTATTAAAAATAAATTAATTCGGGATTTTGTATAGTGGAATATAATTTGGAAATACAATGTTTAAAAGAATTGCAGGGCGTACGCAAATTATCAGACAGCTAAATCTTAGGATTTAACTAAATCTAAACATATTTTGTAGACTATTTCAAATAGCTATTGAGTTTGTGTTGAAATAAAGCAAAACTATAATATATATAAATAGAAACTAAGTTGAAGCAAATAAATTACCTACGCAAAGTTTTACAAATACGGCACAAGGAACATTGTCTATTAAAAATAAAACTATTTTAGGAATACAATAATCGAATAATTGAATTGTTTAAAGCAGTGAACGATTTGAAAACGATGCAGATAAAAACAAATTAAAAATGCTGATAACAAACAAAATAAAAAACTCACGCTATGTCAGAACTGATAAAGCCTCAAATGGTGTTTAATGGATTGTTCTGACGACGCCGCCGCCTAACTGATGAATCAGCATTATGCTTTTCTTTTCTAACTGAAAACCCTTTAAAACATTGATATTGCATACATCATACATTTTTGGAATGGACTATAAATTAAATAAATTAACTACAGTAAATGCAAAAGCGATTTTGTATTTTTTTTTTTTTTTTTGGATAAGCTATGTTCCTTTTGCTGATGTTGTTTGCTGCTATTATTGTAGTTGTTGTTTGTTTTTTAATGTTGCTGTTTGGTGTGTTCCACTTACTAGAGTTTTAGACACGCTGTATCTCAAAGAGCTTGACCTCCGTATCATACCATATGGCAGGCTCCACATTACGCAAATAAATGACGCCCCAAATGTAGGTGCGAAACCAGGCGGTGGTGCCGGAATTGGCCTGATATTTGCGTATTAGTATGGGATGCGGCACGGGCAGCAGACCTACCAGAGTGCCGTGCTGCAAGAATTTCAGTATCTCTGATTCGTCGGTGAGGCCCTTGTCAATGCAGATCTTCTCTACCTGTGGCACGAGCACCTGCAGCAAACGCATAATGGTCTGCAGCGGCAGCTTTGAGCGCCACGAGACAATCCATTCGGGTGTGGGTGTCCAGCGATCACCATCGCCTGGCACCATTCGTATGCTGGATCGATGTGAAACCGAGAGACGCGTCTGATCATCGCGTGACAGCGTCGGCGATGTGGATTTGACGCCAGCTGCGCGCGGTGAGCTTACGGGCGACTTGTCAAACGGCGTCAGATCCGATTTGTCATTAGGATGCGCCTGTTCGCGTTCGGTCATTTGACCAATGTCTGGCGTTTCAAGCAGCGAGGTTTTAAGCGTTCCCGGCTCGGCGGGTTGTGCCGTAAGCGCTGCAACCGGGTCCAGCTGTGTGTCACCCAGCTGTGAACGTTCATGTGATTCTGTTTCCGATTCGAGATCCTCCTCGGCCGTTGGCTCCTTATCCATGCGCCCAATGTCCACATCAGCTTCTTCATCATCGTCGTCCTCCTCCTCCTCCTCAGCATACTCATCGGGCACCTGTGCCGAAGGCAGCTCCTGACTGGTCATGGCCGCTGCCTGTTTGCGCTGCGGCACGCGCGGCAAATTGAATTTGCCACCTGTTTTACGGCCACTTAGACACTTGGATATGCCAGCCATATCTGTGGGCAAATTGGCCATGGCATGAAAGACATGACGTTTGCGTATTATCGTATAGACTAGATTCGAGTTGCCATCGAATTGGTACTGTATGATGTTGTTGAAGATCTCCAGCAGAAAGAACACCAAATGATGATTGCTGGGCGCTGACAGCAGAAACCAGGGTGTGCTAAATGCCTCCAGCAAATGCAGCAGCTTCACGCTGGCCACCATCGAGAGCGTTTTGAGATAAGGCGACACATTTACCAAGATGGTCAACAGGCAATCAAACAGTGGCTGCAACCGCTGATGGCCTGTGGCTATAATTTTGTGAAACACTGTGATGAGCAGATCCGCATGGGTGCCGGTAAAAACAGGTATGTCCATTGGCACCGTGGCCGAATAGGCCTTGTTTAGGCGCACGCCAAAGTTGCGCTCACCTAACGAAAGGAAATAGATTAAAATATATAAAGCACATACATAGCTGGACAATTATCACCTGAGAGCAGCAGCAGTATGAAGACGCCAATGTGCATGAGACCGACGCGCGATTGATCTGCACGCGAGTAGTTTAGATGATAAAGTATAGGTATGAGAATGTCCAGCACATCGGAGCTTTTCAGTACGAAATATAAGAATTTCTTGTTGTAGTCACAAATCTTCCAGAACAATATAAGCAGCTCCTGATGGCAATGGAGCCGCTTTGTTGAGTTGGGTAAATAGTTTTGCACCAGCGGATTGTTGAGCAGGCGTGTTATGCCCCGCAGCACAAAATGGAAATCCTCATCACGATGCACACGCGATAAGTAATTTATGAATAGATTATCGCCGCAGCCGCCCTCATCGTAGGGCGTGACCAGCACTCCACCTGCATGGGCTAATTGATGTTGTTGTTGCTGTTCCTGCTGCTGCTGTTGATGCTGCACAACCATGTCATGGTCCAAGGTGACAATCAGCAGCTGCAAACAGGCCTCCACTAGCGGCTCAGTAGTGTCCGCAAACAGCAGATGGTTGTAGGGCACGCCAAAGCCAACAGGATCATAAGAGCACACAGTGTTCAAAAACGAGGTGAACAGTGGCAGCGCGTGCCTGTTATCCGCAGAGGTAAAGTAAGCAATCCATTTGTTGGGCTCCTCCGATTGCTGTGGGCTGCGGTACATTGGCTCCGAGAAGCAGGTAAGCAGCAGCTTTAACAGCTCCGTGCGTCTACGTTCCATGTGTGCATTTCGCGGCGGTGATTGGGCAAATCCCACTCCTGCCTCCCAGATGTACTCGCAGCTGTCAATGTTAGCCAGCTCTTCGGCCTTCTCTGGTCCAGCACGACGTGTTGCCGTTACCGTAAAATCAGGACAGAAGAGTAAATCACATATGGCATTAAGAAGCGACTGCGCCAGCGGCACTGTCTGTCCAAGATTTGTCTGCTCTTGTGCGGGCAGACTGCTCCAGAAGAAATCACGCCACTTATCGTCCTCGAAAATGTAAGGCAATATGCGTACCAGAAGACGCACACAGTTCAGCACGCACTGTTGGTCCGCCTGGGTGCGACAGCTGCTGTCTACGGCTTGTGCCAATTTCTCCACAGCCTTGTAGCAGAGTGTCGCCAAGTTGGCGGGATTATCATTGCGTATTTGACGTATTTCACTGGCGGTGACCAACGCAAACACATCTTCGAGCGTCGTTTGATGGGCCTGCCAGAATTGCTCCCAGAACTGTTCATCATTGTTGTCAATCTTTTGATTCTTCTGCGTCAGCTGGACAATTGCCTTGCGAAAGTTCAGCTTGGAATCGGTGTTTCCCATATTGTGTCTCTGTTGATGTGTTAAAACGCCTAATTTGCAGCTGCCGCGTCTGCTGTTGCCTCAAGCAAAGTGTATGCAATTGCAATAATAAGGTTTTACATAAATTTAGCCTCGATCTTAATTCGAAAATTAAGAAATTCGCCTACGCACGTTAAGAAAATAGCGTAGCTATGTGTGTGAGTCTTGTGTGTGCTGTTGTTGGTTGCCAGCAGTGGTGTCACAAAATCGATATGTTTTGCTTTTTAGCAGAAAGTATGGCATCACTCACCCTATAGCAATATCGATGACGCCACAGCAAGCACTTGTAGCTTGTGTTAAATGTGTCGAGTTAAAAATGATTTAAATCAATAGACACAACAAAAATTGTTTCATCTTGTTAAGTGTATCACAAAAAAAAGAAACTTGGATTAACATTGAATTTTAGTAATGTTGTTGTTAGTTGCAAATAAATCATGCGTTAACATTTTTAAATATAAAGCCGCCAACTAATGCATAAAGTATCGATTAATCGATACAAATAATTATACGATTCGAACATCCCCACTCAGCGCGGCAAGAAGAAGAAGCGCCAATACGTGGAAAAACATGTATAATTCCATTGAAATACCAGACTCCGACGACGATATGCCAGAACCAGCAACGGCTATGGCAAAATCAATAACCCGCGATAGTCAAATTAACGAGCATACTCCAGAAAAACAAAGAAAAATCTCAGTACCCAGTTCAGCAGAGACGAGCAGTACCAGAACATCTGAATTTTCACCGTCAGATGCATCTAGCAACTGCCCACCGATAGATATAAACAGCAAACAAGTGAGACATAGATCGAGAAAAACGCAACATACAGTTCGCAATGCGGCCGAAAATGAAATACAATTTGAGACAATACCGCTCGATGATGAGGCCACCGAGAGTGGTGTTCATCAATCCGTTCAAGAAGACAAACGTCTAAAGGATAGCAAGAACCTAAGACTTGCCATTGGCAATATGGTAAACACAGAAGAAGTGCAGGCGATTGTTCAGCGAATCGCTAATGAGCGAGTGCGTTGTAATTTTTTGCTGGCCACCTATCAGGTAGGAATGCACACAGTATGCAGTTTCTCGTAAAATGTTAAATTGTAACTATTTTTAGCTGCCAGACATAAATTTTGCACTAAACACGCCCATCGAAGCGCTCAAGTTACAGTTTCAGGAACGCCTCAAGCAGCGCAGGGAGCGCACAAATACAACAAATTCCCCAAACACAGCTACAACAAGTAACCCGCAAGTCACAATAAAAACTAATTCTGAAAAGCTATAATTGTTAAGTACAAATTTTATTGTAAGCGTAAAGGAAAATTAGTTGAGCGTAAAAAAAAAACTAATAACTCTGTTAAATATACATATATAAATGTTAAATTATGCACAGCGTTTGTTTTGTTTTAACCAAATTATTTTGAATTCGTTGTGAGTTGTGTGTACACTTTTCGGCGCATGTCTCTGAAAAGTGCGTTTTAGACAGCGGCACACAACAACCCAGCGTAGCCGTGATCGTCTAGTGGTTAGGACCCCACGTTGTGGCCGTGGTAACCCAGGTTCGAATCCTGGTCACGGCAATGCTGCAATATGCATTGTCACGGGCTGGGTTTTCTTTTTTTTTCCTAATTAAATAAAAACGAAATTTTTTATACATTGTAAGGTAGGCTGCTGTTTAACAGGCAACAAAATAATTTAGTTAGACACATTACATAATTTGGATGCGTATAAAATTGTCTGCTTACTAAATTAAAATGGATATTCGCTTTGCGTCAGAGCCCTATGATGATTCAGGCTCGGGTGAAAGTGATGAGGACCCGGATCAGGTCACAAATGAAGAAGATTTAAAACGAATTGATGAAACTATTCAAAATATATCGAGAAATTTACGTAAAGGCGATTGGACATATTTGGGCCGACATCCGGAGGTAATAATATCATATTAATTTTGGTACTCAAATGTATATATGATGTTTGCTTCAGATACGCGCTATAATACGTGTTATTTTAACGGAAGCTATTAAAAAGCGGCCAGAGAATATATTTTCCTTTGCAGCAGATTTGTTCCATCCCAAAAAACAAAAATTTTTGACAAAAATGGTGAGATTTTAGTTGGCTGTCCTAACATTTAATCACATGACTCTTTATGCAGATTAACAAGCAACTGAAATGGGTGAACAGTCAGGTTCGCAGCGGCGCATGGTCGCCCGCCGATGGGGTCATGTTGTTCCCAGATACAAGTAGCAGTTCTTTCGATGGAAAGAAATCTGATTGTGAGGTACCTTTGAGGGATGCCTTTAGTGATTGTGACCTGCATCAAATGGAAAATCAGTGCCCCGAAAATTTCAAGCCTAGTTGTTGAATTTATTGAAAAAAATGTGTATTAAAAATTAAAAATTAAATGTGTTTGTAAAATCACAAACATTAAATACGTAAAAACTAATGCCAAACAAATTAACTAGTTGCTCAATATTCAATTTTGAAGTTTCGATTTCGATTTGCTAGTCTTCTTCGCCTTTTTTAGGAAATTTGTAACAAGTGCCGCGTTTTTCTGATCGTTTTCCCTTTGCTTTTCCATTTCGATGGCAGTGGAAAATTCCATTAAGGTGTCCATCTGATAAGTCCTGCGCGCCTCAATTGCCATCTTAAATTCCTCTTCGGAACGTCGGAAATCCACTTGAAAAATGGAAAAGGTTTTCAAAATGTTCAAACACTTCTCGCACAGAAAACGTGGCAAGCCCTGAATATCTTTTATCTGCGCATTAAAAAAAAAAAACTATAACTACTGTGGGCAAAATTGGGTATTTGTGGGGAATACCTCGATGTGTACCGTATTGGCTATAATGCGTGTTAAGCGACGGCCATTAAAAAGTGGACGTAATTTGATTCCATTTTCTACAGTTGCTCTACATTTGCAGATTCTGCAGCAATCGGTTAGGTCCAAATCATTTGGATTGACAAATGCAATTCTTCTTGTAAGACTTCCTTCATTCTCAGACATGATGAACAAAAAATTATAATTTAGTAGCGAACCTGTTATAAAATTTTAAAAGTCTATGCTGCAACGCATGCTTCTAATATTACGAATGTATTTTAAAAACATATATGATTTTTATACTTTCAGCAACATTTTTGAATAATGCCGCCGCGCAGAATATTCACCTCGCTTGAAGTTAGCTGCACGCAATATTCAACTTGCTTAAAGTTGGCTGCGCGCAAATTTCAATATGCATTAAGTTGGCTGCTACCAATTTCCCAACAAGAGTACAGTGTACAAGTCGCATTAGTGTTAAATTCATATTGATTAATTTTATAGACGTATTTGTCGGCGCAAATTGTTTACGAATTAATTAGCAAGTCTTAAATGATAAACCCATTAAAATTAAGGAAGCCCAATAAATCCACAGGAAACCTGCAGAAATTTCAACTTGAGTCTGCCATCTTTATTGGTAAGTGTTGCCTCTTATACCCATTCTTTTTCGAGGCCAATTCGCCGCATTTCTTGTTCGCCTTTGTTGTGCTAAGCTTATTCTGCCGAATAATGCCGCAAGGTAACGCTTTGTTTAGCTATTCTTTATTTGCAATTAATATATTAGAAGACAAAAAATATTTCTTTGGCAGTGAACAATAATTTTCAATTAAAATCTAAGTACTCGGAATATAGGACAAACATTTGCAGTATCCGTAATAAAAATGTAAATCAAGCCATAACGCAAGCCAAGGAACGTGTTAAAATAGTTTTCTATAATAAGATTTGTTACGCTTCATATTGGGAATTTTGCCTTACAACCATTTATATTAAGCAGCATACCTATTATACCGTACTACGCCTAAATTCACAAGTGCAGTAACTGTGGCAACTTGGTCGACCGGCTAAAGCATAAGGGAACATGTCAACTAACATTAACATAACATAGCTCTAACATAACAACGTTGGCTTTGAAAGGCGACGTTCGGAGTCTGTAGCTCGCTGGAGTTTGCTTCAGTTGTGTTTCATTACAAAAAAAGGAGAAAAAAATAAAATACCCATACTGATTAAATTTTTTGTAAAATGTTGCCAAACGACAGAAAGATATTGAGGTGCAACAAAAAGATACGATTGCATGAAATTAAACAATTCAACCATTTTTTCTGATAACTTTCGCAGGCAACACGCTCGTCAGAATCAAAATCAAACTGCGCGGCGGCCTATCCAAAGACTCAACGCTGGAAGACTCAACCACAACAACAACAACAGCAGCAATCACAACAAGATGAGCAAAGCTGATCCCATATCGCTCAGCTTCCACGACTCTTGTCTGCGGATGTCCGACGTCCAGCTGCTGCACGGGCCACGCTGGTTAAACGATCAGGCACTTAGCTCGATTAGTTAATACCAATTTCTATGCATATTTATATATATTGTTATTTCAGATTTTGAGCTTCTATTATGAGTATCTGTCGCATGTCAAGTACAAGAACAACAACGATCTGTACTTCATAGCGCCCGAGGTGACACAGTGCATGAAGTATATGGATGACTCCGAGCTGGAGATGCTCTTCGACGAGCACGATGCGGTCAACAAGCCATTCATATTCTTTGCGCTCAATGATAATGGAACCACTGAAGCAGGTGGCACCCATTGGTCGCTGCTGGTGCTCTCACGGCCGGAGAAGACGTTCTTTCACTTTGACTCCTATGGCAATAACAATACGGGCCCCTCAATGGAATTGATGACAAAGGTCAAGGAGTTGTTGGGCGTACGACAGGCTAAGTTTCGTCCGATGCGTTGCTTGCAACAGGCCAATGGCTACGACTGTGGCATTCATGTCATCTGCATGACCGATCACATAGCGGACTATGTGAATCGATACGAGTTGATCGAGGGCTTGCCCACTTTGCACATTGACACGGTGAAGGCCAAGAGGGCAGAGCTGCTGAAGCTGATCCTCTCACTGGGCGGCAAGGACTAAACTATTAAATACTTTGTTATAATGTTTGTAGCTCTAAGTGATCTTTCATAAAACGTTACTAATTGTAAAATGCACTGTGAATACGATTCAACCGTATACGCTTAAAACAACTTGTGAGAGTGAAAGAGCGGGTGAGTGACGTTCCGTGCGACCCAAGCCTTATGTGGTGGATGGCAAACGTTGAACGCAAGCTGATCCTCCATGCGAATGCGATATTTATTATAATAATAATTTGTATAATTTAATGTTTACTCTGGCCCAGTGCTTGGCACTAGAAAAAGAGCCAAAACCGATCCCAGCACATTTGAAAGAAGTGCGACTCATGTATTTTTAGTTGGATTTCGAATAAATATTTGTTTATCCAAGCCAAAGCACTCATATTTATCATCGCTCCAAGGGGACAAACGGCAGCATAATATTTCTGTTTGTTTGCCCAAGAATTGTAGATGTGTATAAAAAGATTTTCATGTGACGAAAGTAGGGCTATTGGGAAGGAAGCTAAGATTCGACATATAGAAATCTAATTTAAAGACATATTCATAATCGATATTCAGCAGGCTGATTTAAAATAAAAATATTTACTTTATTAAGATATTCGCCTTCCCCTTTAATACCACAGGATAGGAGAGGTTATAAATATAAAAAGAGAACTTCCAGGGGGTTTTGTTAATACTAGAAGTTGCTCTTCCTGGAAAGGCGAATTATTAAAACTGGCTAGTATAATCATGTTGGTAGTGGAAAAACAATCCCCAAGCTTATTATGTACATCAGTTTTCATCAGGCGATGCGCTGCCCAAGATAGCATCAATTTTGTTAATTAGCCAACGTGAACCGACGCAGGACGAAGTCCATATGAAATAGTCAGTCTTGCGTTGTAGTCCGTATAGAATGGTCGGGTCGTGGCTATTACAGTGCTATCACAACTATGCACTGCTTGTGGGTGTTACCTCGTACCGTCGGGTGGCCGGCAGTTTTAGCCAGACCTGGCTGACACGCTCCTATGCGCTGGCCATGAATGTCCTTACGCTGACACTGCTGCCCGGATTGCTCTGGTTTTCGACACAGTACATAAAGACAATTAATTGGTTTCCCAATTTGATAACATTTACCACATATATACTGTACACGATGTCCTACGTGTCCATTGCCTATACCCTAATCTCACGCGGTAGTCGGGATAAAGCTCTGTTGGAAGTGGAGAGAATTGTGAACAGATTGAAGGGCCAGCAGAAGGTGCATAATGTGCTAGACACAGAGGGTAGCTGCGGCTCTCTGGCATATTTATTTCAGCTAAAGCTTGGCAGTTTGCTGTATTTGTGCCTGAGCGGCATGATATCCTGCCTGATGATGCCGAACATCAATAACTGGACGCCTGTC